TTATGTCGACGCACTGACATCCTGCCACTTCGCACCATAAACACAGGATGAGTAAACCCTCCTCTCGCCAGCTGAGCGTTTTATTTCTGGGACATAATGTTTCGGTGCCAGCGATATTACCTCCCATCCATTTGTTAAGAAAGACTTTTTTTTTTTTTCTTGGGAGGACATTATCATCAGGATGCATCATTACTCTTCCCACAACACTGCGGAAATTTTATCGGGGGGTTTTCTCTGCGTGTGTGTGTGTAGGTGCCTGGCTGTTGTTAGGATTTTAGAAATACCGAGGTTATAAGTCAAACTCAGCACAATCTTTTACTCTTTTATCTGCTGATCTATAACATTGACTGTATGAAGATGGACAACGTGAGAGCCCCTGGTGGCTGGCTGGTGTAGGTCACAAACCCTGACATGTTGTGCAAACTCACTCTGATTATGTTGATTCAGACTGAAAGGAAACGGTTGCTGTAGAGATCTGCTCCTGTTTTGATTGAAAGCTCGACCTCGATGTGAGGTTATGTTCTCGACGTAATTTGTTGCCCTTCAAAACAAATCCATCAGAGTATTACCTTGACTTGATTACTACAATAACAATGTTCCCTGTCATTAGTTTTGAATATTTGCCCGGGTAACATCCTGTTTTTACCAGCTCGATCTCTGTAGGAAGCACTGAATGTGGTTTCTGTGGTAACAGCTGCGTCACTGCGCCCGTCTGGAGTCATGATATCATTTTCTCCCATCATCCCTGCTGAGTCCCTGCAGAGCGCTCGCTGTGATTAAAACAGTTGGAATTGGAATCAATTTTTCATTCGCAGCCACTTGTCTTCGGTCGACTTCATTTTGCTACTTTGCAGATCATGTTGTTGTGTGAAGCCCCTGATTGCAGATTAGTGCTTGCATCCCACCTCACGCTGTAAATAAAGAAGCGGTATATTACACGCTGTAAGCACTTCCTGACATTTATGGATGATGCTGAAATTCTGCGGTGACATTAATGCTGAGACGCTGCCTTTTCCGTCTTGTTCTAGTCTTTGTGGAAGTTTTTGTTCTCTTCGAATGCGTGTCCCTGTGTATGAGCAACATTTGTGCATCTGTTATTGTTTATTGGTGCTTTGTGCATTTTTTTTCTTCCTGTGTAGAACCCGGCCAACCGAGGACTGCTTTCCCTGTAGACTTGACAGGTAAAAATCTGATCCCTGCATGGACACTGCTGGAAAACAAACTCTACCCGTTGTAAGCTAACAGGATTTTGTTTGTCGTCTGCGGTTGTTTTACTTCAGGAGCGGAGTACCAGGACATCGAGGTCCACCTGCGCAGACAGAAATCTGGGTTTGGGTTCCGGGTGCTTGGCGGAGATGAGGCCGGGCAGCCTGTGAGTCCGGAGACGCGTGAGAAGGCTCGTATGGCGATGGGCGTGGAACCCTGTCATTTTCTCCTCTCTAACCCACTACACACACACTGTGTTCACCTAACCCCTGACCTCTGACCTCTGACCCCCCCCCTCCCCGAGAGAGTGGTGGCTCTGGCTGCGTCTGTTGTCTGTCACAGTAACAAAACGATATAAGCTAATTATTTATCACTGTAACAACCAAGTTAACACCCACTGCATGTGACACTGAAACACTCAAGTCCAGCATCTAAACCCGTCGGGCCTCTACTTCCTATTTGTAACAGTTTACGTTTTTTTTTCCAATAGATCTTGATCGGGGCGATCATCGAGAAGAGTCCGGCAGATCTAGACGGGCGCTTACGGCCTGGTGATGAGCTGCTGTTCGTGGACGGGATCCCGGTGGTGGGGAAACCTCACAGATACGTCATTGACCTGATGCACGGGGCGGCACGAAACGGTCAGGTCAGCCTGGTCATCAGGAGGAGAGTACAGGCGGCAGGTGAGAAATCATGGATGGAGACAGGAGGGTTTAAGCTTTGGTGAATTTGATTACCTCAAGTGGAGTGCGGTCATGTCTTGTCTTGATGTTTGTGCTTTCGTGTTACGCGGAGGAGACTGAGTGCTCAGTGAAGGGACTTCCCTGCAGCCCACCTCAAAGTGTTTGCAGCGGGCGACCAGCTCTAAATTTAGATTTCCCTCGCTTGCGCTTCAGGGCCTCCTGTGAACGCTTTTCCCAGGGAACAGTGAGTTCCAACATGACAACTTAAATAAAACTGTGATTTAAAATAAATCTGGGGGTTGTCGCTGGTGAGGTCAACATGTGGCATGAACGCTGGTGGTAGATATTTTTCTTTTCGTTCCCAAAATTCAATGAAAAGACCAAAACAAACAATGTGTGTTGCCATAAGCCTCAGTTAGATTCTTCATGGAGCTCAACCCACACTGCTGCACTGTGACATGATGCACGTGGGCTCTGCATCGTCCTGCTGCTGTAAATACACACTGCAGGTTTTTTATGAGATTTCTCAACCGTGCTCGGTCACTGAAAACATCTTTGGAAGGACACGGTTAATTCTTCACTCATCAGCTTTAAGAGTTGAATTGATATCACAGGCTGCTCACATCCCTGTTCGTCCCGTCTGGTTTCTCTCTCACCGCCACAGTTCAGTCCTGTAATGATTAATAAAACAGGATTTAATCAGAAAACTGAAGCAGTCATTTTGCATTCATTGAACTGAAGCCTCACCGAAAACTCTCCATCGCTCCTTCTTGTTTCTTCTACAAGCTCATTCGCCTTTGAGTCTGCACACTGGGATGACACTTCCTCCTGTGAACTCCAGCCCCCTGCATCCTCATTATTACCTCACACACACACACACACACACACACACACACACGCACACAAATGCATGCTCTGTTCTCACCAATCCACTTCTTCCCACTCTCTTTCGCCTTCTCTGTCAATTTCTGCTCACCAAAGGCTACTGTCTGACTCATGCCTGGCCTCTTCGTGGCCTTTACTTCCGTCCTAATTGTCTGGCTCCCACTGGCACTTTGCGAGGCGTCGGACTTCGCTCTCTGCTCTGAGCTCACACTTCCTCCTGCACCCAGCGCCCCACATTTCACAAATCATACTCTCTCTCTTTTTTTCCAGACTGTTTTCTCCCGTCATAAAATTACTGTTCATGTCAGTCATCGGTGTGAAGATGTCCTACGCGTCTTCATTTCATTAAACTGAATTTACAGTTTACATTTCCAACTGTTAAACTGCAGCAAATCGCAGCTCTGCCTCTCAGTGAGCCTTCAAAACAGCAACATGAGGTTTGATCTAGAAGCTGCTCTCACCCTGGATTGTCACCGTGCTGCATTTTAATGATGTGTGTTTTTATACCGAGGGGCGACTTTACTTTTTTTGTTGCGCTCTCCTGTGTTGTGTGTTTGCTTCTCGATTCTTCTCAAGACGATGAGACTCAGCTCCAGCTCGTCCAGTTTTAGAGAATCTGAGAAGAAGAAAAAGCTCCCGCCTGTCAAATGAATTGTTTTCCTTGCACATTAAAAATTAGCTTTGGATTCTACTGAAGAAAAACCTATCTTACCACGTCTCCCTTCCTCTGGATGATTGCTGGGCCTGAGTTCTTATCCCACCTACCCCCCCCCCTCCAGGTGAGCCCTGCCCGGAGAACGGCCGCAGCCCGGGCTCGGTCTCCACGCAGCACAGCTCCCCTCGCAGCGACTTCACGTACGGCAACAGCACCTGCACCAACCCGGCGCCCAACACCTGCACGGGCAACGTGGCATCTTCAGACGGGACGTCGACTCCCAACGCCCAACCCAGTGACGTCATCATCAACAGAAAGGAGAGCGAGGGCTTCGGCTTCGTCATCATCAGCTCGCTCAACCGGCCCGAGGCGGCCGCCGCTAACAGTGAGTCCTGTGATTGTTTCAGTGGGTTTTGATCAGTCATCATCTCTTCACTGTTTAACATCTGCCTCAAGGGCTAAACCTCACGTGAACCCTCTCAGACACATCTAAGATGACAAGCAGTCTATATATAGTGTCAGGATACATTTCAGTATGAGAAGAGGTCACGACTCATTAAAAAGTGAAGCACCTCTATTTTATCTCCTGAATTATACACACCCGCCCACGACACGTCAGTCACACACATCTCTGCTGCTGCTGAGCATCAGTGCATCGCCCACACGCAGGAGAAAAAAAAAACCCAGGATGCCTTACATAAGCCTGGGGTGAATCGTAAAACCAGAGAGACAGAGACATATTCAGTCAGTCAGGGAGCGAGCGCTGTGTGAGCGCACACAAGTGTAATCCGCCAATCTGCTGCAGAGCGCGTCCTCACCTGCGGCGTTTGATTCCCCCCCCCGACAGCTGTGCCCCACAAAATCGGCCGCATCATCGAGGGAAGCCCGGCCGACCGCTGCGGGAAGCTGAAGGTGGGAGACAGGATACTGGCGGTGAACAGCCAGTCCATCGTCAACATGCCCCACGCCGACATCGTCAAGCTGATCAAGGATGCAGGCCTCAGCGTCACCCTGAGGATCATACCGCAGGAAGGTGAGAACACGTGCACACACACACACACACACACACACACACACACACACAGATACAGAGGAGGATCTGAAACTGCAGGACTTTACGTTGACAGTGATTTATGAGAATAATTGAACTGACTCTGTTAAATCAAAGTTGGAACATAAGTTTTGCAAAATCTGATTCTTTTTAGATTAACTGACGGCTCACACTGATTCACGATTGGTTGAACGTATGTGTGGGTGGCACCTTGATACCATGGTTCCAAATGGCAGAGTTCAAATCCAGGATTTTTTGGCTTCACTTTTTTTAGAAGTGGGAGGAAGTGGAGACACGTAATCCATCTTTATTTACAGTCTATTATATAAACACATCCAAAGCAATGTTGGCTTTACAAAAAGTGCAAACTAACTTTTATTTGCTTGCAGGAAAACTTCTCGGAGTGACTTTATTATTTGCTTTGCTTTTTGCCAAAAAACTAAAACTGAACTAATCAGTATTTTATCTTAATGGTTCAAATGATCAAATGTAAAACATCGCTCATAGTGACAAACCCACAGTCCCGTGTTCTGCTGTTCCCCTTAGCTTCATATATGATTTTTTTTTTTTTTATTCTCATCCCAGAGATCAGCAACCCCCCATCGGCCCCCAGCTCAGAGAAGCAGAGCCCCATGGCCCAGCAGCACAGCCCTAAGACGCAGCCCAGCATCGTGGCCTCCGAGCCCAGCCCGGCAGCGACGGAACTCAACCCCTCCGTCAGCCAACCCAACCCCGTGCCCCATCAGAGCCCTGTGACCCAGCTGCCCGCCCCTCCACCTCAGACCTACACCCACGAGAGCAGGTGAGACGCAGGTTTGCACGGAGGCCGGGTTACAGAGCGTGACATCTCAAACAGTTCTAAAGAAACATGTCTCATCCTGGTGCTGTGTTAAAGTGTCATGTTTTGATTTGCTGACACGGGGAAGCTTTTTTATAGACTCGCCCTCTATCTGTCTCTGGGGCAAAACACAGTTGAGGGAGTCACTTTCATCACTCTGCCCCCATTCTCTCTCACCTTACGTCACTTTTTTTTTTGCTGCAGTTCTTTCCCCTCTTTCTCAAACTTGCGTCTTTTTCATTCTCCCTCTCTCACCAGTTTGTCGTATAACATCACTTAACTCTAAATTATTTAACACAGATTGCTTCTTTTATTGACATCAGAAAACTGAATACTTGAACAGACAGAAACCTTCTTTAAGATAAATGTATTTCACATGAACTTGTTACTTGTCCCATCCGCTAACATGGAGATGGCAGGGTTGATGATCTTTACTGTAGCAAAACCACCAGGGGGAGATCAAGATAAGTCTAGATTGATGGTTGTCAAACAAGCCAACACTAGAATTACCTCTGACAGTAATAGGAATCCTCACGGACGTTCCTCCTTCCCTTCATTGGTCTGTTAGTTACAGATCAGAAGTGAAGGCGAGGCAGGACGTCAAACCAGACATCCGACAGCCGCCGTTCACGGATTACCGACAGCCGCCGGTGGACTACCGGCACCCACCTGTGGCGGACTACCGGCAGCCGCCCACGTTGGACTACAGACACCCGCCGCTGCTCGACTACAGACAGCTCGCTGCGGACACCAGGCAGTTCATGCCTGATTACAGAATGCCGCCAGTTCAGGTGAGGATGTTGTGGTAAATGTGTTACTGGACTCTGCAGGTCCTCTCCTCTCTATGAAGCTCATAGTTTTAGTTTTACCCTTTAAGTTCAGTCTCTCTTTTCTCATCAGCGTTGTCAGTGCCCCCTGCTGGACAGACAGTGTAATCATTATACGGTTTTTAAATTACCTCTAACGTATTTTCCGTCTTTCACTGTTGAGTGGTATTTCAACATTTATGCCAAAAGCTTCTGAGCTGAGCTGATATCTGCCGATGCGAACATTCTGCTGATGCGTCAGTCCGCCTCTGCTGTTGTCATAATTTATACAGCATTCAAATTTTAATCTTTGTTCCAAGTTCAAGGCTTTTCAACAAACTGTCATAGATTTTCATCGTGAATACAAGTGCTCATATAAAAGTTATCATTGACTATTTCACACTGAGCTTATTTATCCATGACCTCATTGTTCGTATGTACGTGTCTCTCAGCTCGGTATCTTCTGTTGAGTGTAATCACATCTCACCCTCCTCTCAGCTCACACAGGACTTCGACTTCTTCACGGTGGAGCTGGACAAAAGTGTGAAGGGCTTCGGTTTCAGCATCCGTGGAGGGCGGGAGTACAAGATGGACCTGTTTGTCCTACGACTGGCAGAGGACGGACCGGCCATCCGCAACGGGAGGATGAGGGTGGGTGTTGATGACGTTACGTCTTTTTTAAGAAAGCCTCCACACCCTCCTTTTTTCGGAGGTTAAGCTGCTTTCGATCTTTGTGGATTACATGGCAGACGCTCACTGTAATTGTCTGATGTTATCAAAGCTGCGAGAGCAACTTCTCACTGCCTGTTAAGAAAATAATCTGCCAGAATAGCTCAGAGATGGTTTGTCCTTTTGTTGTTTTTCAGAAGTTTGTCTCCTCCCAGAAGTTCCTAAAACTCAGTGCGTTTAGTAACAGATAATATTCAGAAAGATAAAGAAAGATAACATGTTTAAGTGGGACGACTTCAATTCTGCTTTGATGTTTGCATATCTGCACGATTCTCTCTCAAGACGAAGTTGCGAATGCGTTTGAAAGAACAGACACAAGTTTTCAGATTTTCTCAGGACGTACTAAAAAATTCAAAAGAAAAATCACACAAAGCACACAACTTTTAAATTCCCCTCATTTGCTCCATGTGCTTCACTGCCAGGAACATAAACTACAAATTCTACAATAGCTTTTCTCTGTTTGCCGATTTAATCCTGCAGCCGCTGTCGTCTTCTGCTTCCTTTTTCTCTTTACTTGTATGTTCCCCCATATTTACGTCTGCGGCTCCGATAGCCCAAGTCTGCTCTACATTCCTTATCTGTAATGAACCTGTAAGATAATGTGTGGGAAATGCCCCCAGGAGAGATATTAGGAGGAGGAGGAGGAGAAGGAGGAAATCCATCTTCAGCTTCACTTCAAATCAGAAAAGAAGCTGCCAAGACATCTGATCAGTGGTGAAAGAAACAGAAAATCCTAAATCCTACTCAAAGTAAAGTCAGAAGTATAATTATCAAAATGTATTACCAATAAAACATATATGTACATGACAATATTCAATTATTTAAGTTATCACTGATAATTATTATCGTTTGACTATTTTACAGGAATCAAAACAGGTATTTTTTTTCAGATTTGGAAAATACTGGTTCAATCTTTAAGGGAGACAAATTCTGCTCATATTCATGTTCATGATTTTAATTTGAGTTATTGTTTATTTACTGATTACATGCTCTGAAAAAACATATTGTAATATCTTGTAAAATATGCACTCGTATGTCATTCTGAAAAATCTAAATTTCAAAGGCAAATCTTTCAAATAGATAAATTGGAACGTCACTCAGCACAACTACGCCAAGGACCAACAATTCCTCCTGTAGCTTTTGCGAAATCCTGCTGTCTGGCAAACGCAGACAAAAATCTAAAAGTACTACGCAGAGGTACTATATTTGGTGTGTTTTTTTTTTTTAGTGTTTCAAAAGTTCAAGGTTGTACCTGAGTAAATGTTCTGAGCTGCTCTCGATGAACGGCTCAGATACAGAATCTCAACGCTGAGTCTTGAGCAGATTCCAGAACAAGGTGCAGTGAACACTTTGATCTCTCCTCCGACATCCCTCAACCCTGTGTGTGTGTGTGTGTGTGTGGGGGGGGGGGGGGGATCAGTCTGTATTTAACTTAAGTACATGTGAGCCACTGGTTAGAAAGCACCTGACACGTCTGTCACTTTGGATCTGAGCGCTGCTCTGACACGTAGGTGCAGAAAGCCAAAAACCCACTTGTGATACAGTCGCTCTGACGCGTTGAGTTCAGTCCAAATCATTTCTCCTCAACAGGTTCTTCGTCACATCTTCAAAAAAAATGTAATTTGGCCCGAGCTGCCATAAAGTAATCAAAGCAGAGGAGCACTAACAAATTCTAACAAGCTTCAAGTGCCACATTGAATAGTTTAGGAAGATTGAGTGAAGTGATTGGTTGTTACACATCATCGTTGAGTAGATCTAATTACCCCTCTAAGCTTTAAGATCGGCATTCACAAGTCGTCCAGCCAACTTTATTAAAGATGAAAATGGAGTCCGCTCTCCTCGGCTGTTACGAGGTGAGGATTAACGAGCGACCCGTCTTCCCTCCCACCTCTGCACACACCACTGTAACGACACCTAATGACTCCCCCTGTCTTGACTCCAGTCCGCTCCTGACTTTCAAATTAGCCCGTCCATTACCGCGGGTGCTTCTCCATTTTCTTAGCGTAATTGGCCCGGAACGTTTGGTCCCTTTCCCCGTGAATCCTCCCCCCGTTAGTCAACCCCAAGGGGGGGAGTCACCTGTCAAGAGTCTGGAGGGAGGGATGACACTTGACTCGTCCTTCTGTACGTCGGGTAGAGTTTACAAAAAACATAGAAACACTCCAGCTCATGTTTTTACGTTTGCAGCTAACTGAGCTCTTGTGGTCATGTGTGCAGGATATTAGAATTCATCAGGGCGTCTTAATATGTTTCTTAGCAGCTCCTCGGAAAGGGATCCACCATAATTCCATCCAAATGACATGTCGGAATTACCGCTGAAGTTAATTATAACTGAAGGCAGTTCATGACGAGTAATGCTTATTAATGCTCGCAGAGGCTCATGGGAAAGCAAATGAATTATAGATCCATATTGATCTTTATAAATCATTGACGTCCGCAATAAAAGAAGCTTGTTAATTTTCTATTTCGTACGTTCTGCTCCACTGTAATTGGTTCCTTCCTCGGTTCGCAAACAGCTTCATTAATTTGCTCATCTCACTGGTGGCCCTGTGTACTTCCCCGAGAGGCTCATGCAACAAGATGGCAGCTAATACAGATGTAATGTTATTAATTGGGTGTTTCTGTCAGTCACACCTTGCTCAAAGGAGTCAGGCGACAGTTTAAAGGACCAGTGGTGGTGGATTTAGGAGGAATGTGAAATAATATTCACAATGATGTTTCTATTAGATTATTATCACCTGAAACTTTCTACTTTCTACAGTAGCCCAGAGTGGACAAACCAAAGGGGCCTTGCAAACTGCGTCTTTATCCGTCTTATCCTGCCGGCTTTGTCAAACTGTTTCCACAAAGTTATAAAAACTAAAAATGTCTTTTCTCTCTGACAGAGGTTTAAAACTGTCCCCCGCTTACTCACATCCAGGTCGGGGATCAAATCATTGAGATCAATGGAGAGAGCACCCGCGACATGACGCACGCCAGAGCCATCGAGCTGATCAAGTCCGGAGGTCGGCGTGTTCGTCTTCTCCTAAAGAGAGGGACAGGGCAGGTCCCAGAGTACGGTTAGTACCAGAAACCTGAGGCAACTGTCTTTGTCCTGAGGATCATGTCTTTTAACTCTTAGACTATTCACTGTCTGTCTAATATCACTCTATAACAACATTATTCTAGCATGTAACTGATATAACTTCTCTTTATATGCTCATTGTATTCTGTATCTAATTATATGTCTTTTCTATCTGGACTAACACTAGTTTATCTTCTGTCCATTTCAGTGATCTATCACTAATTGATTGGTCTAGGTTGTTACTTCCCCTTCTATAGGAATGGTATCTTCCAGTCTCTCCATGTGCATGAAAAGTGACAAGCATGGCTCCCCCTATTTCTTCCTAATGGGCCACTCTAAAGACACGGTTTGTGACCATACCAATGTTTTTCTCTTCACTTTAACCCTGGAGTTCTGTGCTGTGGTTTTGTTGTGTGTGTTGCTGTGTCGGTGTAAACACCTGTTCAAGATGCACTTTCATTTCAAAACAGTGTTTTATGACCTTGGACGCCTCTGACGGTTGAAGATTTTTGCCTTTCCGCTTTCGGATTTCTCTCCGAGCTGCAGGATGTTGTAAAAATCTCCTGTCTTGACTGGAAGATAAATCAGCAGCTACCTGCAGCCCCACAGATAGAGCAAATCGAGCGTTCACCCTGAGTCAGCCGGAGGAGATGAACGTAAAATATCGGGGACGATTATTTACCCTGTGAAATTTCCGCGTAGCTCGAATTGAGCCTGGAAGGGGACGTTTATTTCTGTGACACTGCGAGTAATAAAACTCTAATGCGTCACTCACTCCTCTTGCATCCTCCCACTCATGGGAAAGCCATTTTAGGGAGGAACACGACGGCACTAGAGCCCAAAGTGACACATGTTCATGAGCGATTGGCTTCGAGGTCCTTAAGCACAGGAAACAAAGGGTGATGTCGTCTCCCCGCGTTTGCTCCTTTTTTCACAACCTCCTTCCGGCGTGAGATTTAATTTCTCTGCGTGGACTGTTTCTGTTCTTTTTGCCTTGAGGAGGCTGTGAAATGTGCACGCGGGGAGTCTCACTGTGGTCATCCAGGAGACACAGCGCTCCATCATCACAAATCTTTTGTGATGTTTAGGCAGCCTCCGAGTACAAGCAGTGTTTTTGACCCACACGCTCCATTCTGCTCTGTTCTGTTCCGTGTGGGCTTGATTCAGCATTTCATCACTCGTAGTTTACAGGCACTTTATTTGCATACTGGAAGGTTAAGCAAATCATCTATGGAGATTAATTAGGCCATTTAAAACATTAGCATAATAATGTTCAAGGGAGCGAGTTATTTTTGTTTCACGTTCTTGCGCTGCGCTTTCCAGGAACGACTAAAAGCGAAACAAAGAACAGTGTTTGCATAAAAGAACACGGCTGTGTGCATGTGCATGGCTGTGATCGCGTGTGCCTTGTCTTTGTGTTGCATTGTGTGAGGTTTTGTGTCTGTCTGGTGTGAGATCTGAACCTGAAGGGCACATATTTATCAAAGTCCTTATGTTTGCACCAAACGCTGCTGTAAAGCCGACCTGGGAGAAGAACTTCGACACCACATCAAACTGACACGACAGCAAACTATTGAGTGACATAAAATAATTAATTACAGCCGCACACGGTGATACATTCTGTTGGGCTCCGTGGTCTCGCCCCCTCAATGAACTGAAACACAACTGAACCCTGGATATTACCCATGAGCCCCGGCTTCCTGAGCAGAGCTGATCTACAGTTCAGCTTTAGTTTTCAACTTAACAGACGTACGGGGTGAGGATTCTCATTTTTCTTTAATCGTCTGTTTGATTACTGTGGTCGATTAAAGATGAAAGATATATTTATAATTAAATGAATCTTTACTTTAAGGCGATGACTCTCCTCTGGGTCAAACAACTCCAAAAAACACCAGATCATAAACTTCCCATAATGCAACTTTCATCTTTGTACCCGCCGAGTAAACATCTGTCTAACTCCAGGCCTGAAGTTTGTGATGCTGTCGATGTTACTTGATTCATTTCCTCAGACTTCAGAGGCTCTTTTAAAGCAACACTAGATATGACATATATATTTCAGACATCACAGTATCTCTGTGATTTGTAATATTCTGTCATTCTCCTTTAACATATGGAATTAAAACCAAACAGCCTCTTTATGAGTGAAAACCTCAGAAACCGTAAAAAGAAAAGTTACTCTCAACTAAGACACATTCTAAGGTGAGTATTTTTAAATCTGTTTGCAAGAGACCATAACCTGGTCTTTCATCACACCGGGGCACCGCGACATTCAGCCGCACACGACCTGCCCAGACACAAAGTTAGCGTGAAGCCGGTCGAGCATGTTGGAGCATTTGGCAGATAAACACTCAGATGTTTCCCTCGGGAGTCGGTGAAGTGCAAACAGGGAGTAAAAGAGGAGCGAATATTGGAGTTGCGTTCATCAGGTCGACACAAACACGACTCCAGATGAATCAATGAGAACAGTTCAACAGCTTTTAATGAGGATATTTAGGTGTTAGGTTAAAGTTAGTGTCTGCTGAGCTGAAGTGAACCCAAAAAAATCTGTTCCTGCAGCTTTAAGGAGGCACAGACGTAACATGAAGGTAGCAGCTAATGTTTTATAAAGTCCAGCATGATCTAATGTCCCTCACTGTGCAGGACAGAAGCTCCTGTGTTCTTACAATGACCAGGTTCTCTTGTTTCTCCCCCTCAGTCCTGTATCTAATCTGCTCACTCGCTGCCATGAGAGCCTCTTTATAATTGGGCCTCGCGGCGCTGGTGTAGTTAGCCCTCGCCTCTGCCCTCTGCCCAGCCCACTGAAAGTGACTGATGGCCGGGACTCATCAGTGCAGAAGCGGAAGCTAACAGTCCGTGAGAGTGGACGAGCGAGCTGCAGATTCACTGCAGCTGGATACACTCCTCTTCAGGCCTCAGAGAGAGAGAGAGAGGGGCACTTGGCCCCTGAGGTTTTTCATTCTCGCTAAAGCACCACCCTATTGGGCACATCATCCATTTCATTAAACCTGTTTTCGATTTTCCGCCAAGGTCTTAGATTGGCCGAGGCTTTAAAGAGAGCTATGGGAGGCAGATAGATGTTGTCTAAAAGTAGAGCCGCCCTGTGACACGCTCTGAAGTAGGTTGCTGTGCCGCGCTGATATTTACTTTAATGCTTTTAGCTTGTAGAATAGGAATGATTGCTGTGGTGATTATTTTGGTTTTGATTTAGTGTTTGTGTTTGGTTATGCAGTGGCGTGCATGCAAGCTTTCCAATTGAACTTGTGCATGTGTGTGTGTGTGTGTTTTTGTGTGGCTTTCGTATTATTGACTGAGTGTGTGTGTGTTCCAGACAATGCTGCCCCATGGGATGCTCACCCTTCAGCCTCCCCAAGCCTGTCGGAAGTAGCCCCTCCCATCGACAGCCTTTCCATGTCATCGCCTTCATCTCATCTGGCCCCGGCCCCCGACCCACCTCACCTGCTGCCTCTGGACGTCCCTCGGGACGCGGTGGCACGAGACGGCCGGACGGAGCGTTCGAAGAGCCCCCAGAAGGCCGAGCTGCTAAATCCAGATCCGATCGGCCAGGGGAGGAGAGCGGCTTCAACCGGCGGCAGCGGCAGAGCGAAGAAAGAGGGTGGCAGGTCCTCCCACAAGGGGCACAGGGTGCAGCCCACTACTGAGGGGGAAGGGGGCAGAGAGGGGCTGAGTGGGGAGCCCAAAGCTTCCAGGAGCACCAGGGGGAGGTCCAAGGAGAGACATACTGGGGATAACAGAGAATCTACCCACTCTCCCAGCTGCTCCAAGCTCCCACACACTAACGGGAACAGCAGAGAAGACGTGGAGCGTTACGGTGTTGGGTGGCAGCAGCAGGTGGAGGCAGAGCAGTGCAAGCCCAGGCCCAGGGAGCGCAGCCTGGGAGAGAGCCGGCCCGGCCTGCCCAACAAGAGCACCAGCAGCGGCAGCGTAGCAGGGAGGAAGGTCACGGTCTCTCCTGGGCCCTGGAAGATCCCTGGATCAGACAAGCTGCCCAGCACGCTGCGCACGGGCACGTCCACGCTGAGCAGATAACACCGCAGCTCCTGCAGGAGACAGTGGCCACACTCATCTGAGCTAATCCACCACATCTGGATGAATCCACCATCCTCACACCCCTCCTGTGCTTCTTTATCCCCCCCCCCCACTTACTCCTGTTCTCCCATGAGTCGAAACCACGGGGCGGGCGGGGGGGGGGGGGGGGGGGGGGGCAGGGTGATCTGGACCACGTGTTTTTAGAAGTTTATTTATGATACTGTACTCTAAATTATTTTGAGAAATATTTTACACCCACCACCTTAAGAACTGGTAAATCATCCACTTTTAAAAATATATGGAAGAGCAAGTAGAATGTGTGTGAAGTGTGGCGAGTGGGGGGGAATCATTCTGGGGGGTGGGGGGGTACAGACTTTGAAAAACTCCTCCCTGAACGTAACTTGGGGACAAACATGCAAATATAAAACAACTTGACAGGAAGCAACTGTCGGGTGCCGTTGGATTTTTTTTATATCTCTTCACAGCGGAGTCTATTTTATGAAACAGAATGTGCAGAAGAAGGTTTGCCTGTTTTTGACGTGAGCGAATGGAACAAAGCGTGACAGCGGAGATGATACTCATCAACAGAACTTTGCCTTAACAGAGACTGTGTGGGCCTGAATCTGTCTTGAATACTCTATCAGATGATTATAGACATAGATATATTATAATGAATATGAATATGTGGGATCATTTTTGTAAATAAGATCATCTTTAAGCGAGCGGAACCTTACAGCTGAGCCGACGGAAATTACAGTCCTGGATTTTACGAGCAGACCAGCGAGACACGGACCAGAACTTTCACCACGTCGACGCCCCCCCCCCGCTTCTACAAGGCCTACACTTGGAAACAGTTCGGCGAGGGGGTCGTCTCCATCCGCCGTCTTCTCATTTCTGTGCTCAACGAACAAAGCAATCCACAGCGGTGGCGTCCGGTCGGATGCTGAGAGAAGTAGAGGCAGAGTGCCTTAGACTGACAGAGAGGTCATAAAGGTTCAACTCCCAAACACTTGAGAAGGTTCAACACAGGCTGCTATACCAACACCAACTACAGAGTATAAACAAGAAACTGTATTTTTTACATACGCGAGTGTTGAGGTGAAATACATCATTTACTTCATGTGTGGAAATGAGTCCATTACCAGAGAACTTAACGCCCCGTGTTTGTGCTCGCAGTTCATTTTGGGTCACTAGACTTTTCATTACTGATTTCTTAATGAGGTCTGACAACAGTCATTTCCATGAATTATCGTTTATACAACGTGGAATAATTAAATGTCAGCTCGTGCCAGAGCTCCGCACCCAAACCAAACAGAATCAGTACAATCTGATATTGAGTCATCCAAGAGTCCTGTCAAACAGGCCCTGATTTTAAAAATGAAACATTTGTATTTGGGCCGAGACGAGGCTGCACTTGTGTAATCATCACAATATGATGAGCTTTCAGTGACTGTGTCCACACTGTGTGTTATTCCCTGTACGTCTTAATTTTATTATCGTTCCGTTTTTATTTTTACACAATAACCTGACAATTGACCGCCTTCCATCGCTCGATTCTTTCGGGAAACAATGGCCGCTGGATTTCAGACTAACAGCTGAGCTGTCATTTCTTAGCAGCGACTGACAAAGTTTTCTAAAATGACAACTTGTCGCCTGGAGGCTTCATCCGCTCCACAAGTTTTGGGGATGTGACGTCTCGTTCATCTTTGTGTCCAGTGTACGGCTGATTGGTTGGAGAGTATTTGAACAGCAGGCCAAAACTGCACATTTAGACCATGCTACTTTAAGCATGCTCACAGGTAGTAAACCTTTCAAACCTGCTGTTTCTACCACTCACTGCTGCTAAGCTATGATTGAATCCCTGTGTGGGGGAGGGGGTTCAGTGAACAGTGTACAAATCGTCTCCCGTCATCTGAATCTTTTTAACTGAAGTTTCCGAGCAGTCAAACAAGCCAACATTGAAGAGAAAATCATTTTATTGCATAATACCAGAGCAAATGTTTCCTCTCCTTCCTCTGCAGCGAGAAGGTCCAACAGTGTTCGGATAATGAAAGAGCGAAGGGAGAATAGTCATTATGTTTGCCATTGTAATCCGTAATTACACGAGGACTAAGCAGACTGACTTTAAAGCACAATCGCACACAGTAAGTTTGGGATATATGAATTATTATGTCACAGAAAATCATCAGCCAGGCACAGACGGCACCGCCCCCTCAGTCACGTGCACATTGTGGGTTAACGTCACAAAACGAGCCCCGACCCTGAGTTTTCCACTTTGTCAGACTAAAGGTAGAAATCGCTGCCTGTGAACTGTGTCCTCCTGGGCTGCTGCTTTATTTTCTGACCTCTGTTTTGAAGCAGAAAACAAACATACATGCATTTTTTTTTTTTTTTTTGGCTCAGCCTTTGCACAAGTCACTGCTCTCTCCATCCGAGCCGTCTCCATTGAACCAAATTGTCGGTAGTTTGCTCTGGAAAGCTGAAAGAACAAGAAACGAAGTGTGTGTTGAGGGAAGAAAAAAAAAAACGGCACAGGCTGCACCATAAACTCTCAAACAGCTCAGCATCACTGTGTAGTGTAATGGCATCGTGTAAACCCCCGAACAAATATCTCTATAAATATGACTCTGTGTACTATTGACAGTCACAAAGAGTGTAAGTGGAGCAATTATTTTTATGAAATGCAACGCTATGGATATATTAACTTTTGCAAAAATCTTGTTTACCTGTAAGATATTCTGAAACGGTGTCAAAAATAAAAGAAAATCTTGACACAACATGGAAGATTCATTGAGGAGATGCTGCTGTGTGATTTATTACGGTTGCCTGGTTTCGGTAAAGCACATGTTACATGGGTAACACTTGACTTTAAAACCAAATACACTGTTTGTTATGTGCAGAACTGTTTCCAGAGCATGAATATCCTCACACTGCTTCTTCTTCCTCTGCAGTGTCTCTGTTTGGCCACACAGGGGCGGTCTGATGGCGAAGTACAATCCTGCAGAAAATACTTTCACAGACTCAGGTCCTGATTGTATATGTTACTCAAGTGTGTGTTTCCTGTAGATTTTTATATTTATATAATTACTGACCAGGTTCTTGTCAACTTCGAGGCTTGAATAAAAGATCTCAGGGCTTTAGAGCTTGTGTGCACATCAGCCACGTCTCCACTAGAGTTCAGCATAGTCTAGGTTTATATTATCATGCATCTGCTTAGTTTCATAATTTTTTTTCAATTTATATAAAGTTATTAGTCAGACTCTTATAAAATTGTTCAGGGATTTTTATAAATTACACAACTTCACACATTCTGTAATAAAGGGGATAATACATTTGAAGCAGCTTTAGAAAGGTCACTAGTGTTCACACTTCCTCTTGTGGTTTTCTGGTAAATGCACATCCTGGGACCTCCTGTGACATCCTGTCCCCATGACACTACAGTTGGCATCTTTGTGCATTTAAGAGTAGATTTGACACCTCAGTATGAGCCCACTTCTTCTTTTTTTTTCTGATTTTATGAAGGAAACGTTGAATATACTCACAAGCTTAAAGAAGACATCCATGCACGTGTGGAGACGATGCAGGGTACAGCGAGACGAACGATAACACGCTCCCCTGCAGAGGTAGCGCAGGTCGGGTGCTTGTACTGTCACTCCTGAGCTGTGTGTCTGGAGTCCAGGCCTCGACACACAGAGGAAGCAGTGCAGGGCTGAAGAACCACCTTTGACATGTTAATGAAACGGCACACGGTCTCTCACATTTTACAGATTGTTGGGCTCAAATGCTCAGAGATGGAAGAGTTGAGATAAACAGGGTGTTATGTTTTGTGTAAGCTTCACAAAAGTCTGTTTACCAGTTTGACTCACAGCTCTCTCTCACACACACACACACACACACTGTTGTAATTGGCAGTAGACATGACTCAGATTTTCTCGGCAGTATCTGATGGACTGCTTCACCTCCTCCGCTGACTTCTCTCCCTCACTGAAGAGCTTCATGTTATCAGCAAAACAACTGCACTGCTGAGGAAACACAAGATGAACTCACTGTGCTGCGATTTAACAAAGTACATTTACTTCATTTACTTAAGCATCTGTACTAAGTAGATTTATTTTCAGGTAATTTCATATATCTGTACCTTCTACTGCTATATCTGTGTTTTAATACAACAAGAAACAAACTATTTTTAATATATTTTTATGTCTGTAAGATTAGAATCCTGAAAAACATCCTCATTTGAAGGATTATAAATCACCGAGGCTCCTCGGATCATCCAGCTCCACTGATACTTTGCTTTCCTGTATGAAAGTTGATTCCCCTCTAATCTCACCGTCGCCTCACTTGTGCACTTTCACGTGGGAAGAACCCGAAGAAGCTGCGAGTGAAACTTCTGCTCCCTCGATGTTTGTTAGCGACACTGTCTGAGAGTTGCAGGAGAAAATAATCAACTCGTTTGGGAGCAGAGCAGGTTGTAGAAATCCCTGAGTATGCACAGTTTAAAAAGCTCCATGAAGGTGAATCATACTGACAGAGGAACAGCCGTGACTTTCTACTCTAAACATTTTCTGCAATCAGCGAAATATTACAAGCTGAGACACAGTGAAATCAATTTCTCCGAGGAAGATTACAAGTACAAGTACTACGTTGCACAACAAGGATTACCTGCAGAGGGGAATATTGAATCTGTTCACTTTAGATTTAACATTTGTAGAAATTCCTTAAAGCAAAAAGTCCTAGAACATGTGCTATCAGGCCACCTTGACCTTTGACCTCTGACCACCCAAACCTTATCAGTTGATCCATCGCAGTGTTCGCAGAGATCATTTAGTTGCTGTAGCAACCAAAGCAAAGTCTGTGCCCTTCAGCTGAGTCGAAACTCTGTTGGATTCATATTGAAGCTGTGAGATGTGGAGTAATGGCACCAACTGGAGCTTTAAAGTGTTCTCCAGGCAACCGGCTGGATCATAACCAGCACGGTGGTATTTGATGCCTGCCACTTGATATCTTTAATTATGCATGAGCAGGGAATTAAATGACCCCCCCCCCCCCTCCTGTGTATTTATGTGGACGTCGATAGCACAGGTCTGTCCCGACAACAGGTTTCTGCTGCAGAGTGATGGATCATTAAGGTAAATAATTTAAAGACGTGGTTTGAGAGTATCTGGGTCATTAGATTGGTTTGAACTTGTCTTATTATATATGTCAACATTATTTCAGGTCACAATGAAGAGTGAGATCATTTACAGGCCATGGCTCCATAACAAATACAAATATGGCAATAACCCAAATCCTTTATATATATATATATATATATATATATATATATATATATATACAAATGTGTAAATGTAGAAACAGTGGATTCAAGATCATCTGATAGAATTCATGAGTACCACAAGTACCTGACCCACAGAATGTCTGTGCACGGCCCTGCAAATGTATTTAATTAACTGTTTTAAAATAATATTTCGTTATTAATTATGATCAGCTATACAAATTATGATTATGATCAATAATCAATGAAGCACTGAAGTGTGTGTTGTTGTGTTTTAACTTTCATCATCACTCTGTTAGAAATCAGTCCCAGAACAAAATGACTGCACGTGTTTCCTCCTTCACTCCTCAGATTTTTCAATGAAGTCTGGCGGCGCCCGCTTCTCACGCAGCAGAGCGGCGTGTTCCTGCGGGACGAGGGGAGGGCCTGCGGGGCCTGCGGGGCGGCGGGGGGTGGGGGGACACGCCCTGCCCCCTCAGTGTGACCGGGTCCTGCCTCTGTCGTCCGCAGACACACGCTCACAGGCGGGCAGGCGGGCCGTGCATCAGCGGGGGGAAGAACCGGGCGTCTACTGACGGTGGAATCCCAGCAGCCAGAGCCCAGGGGCGGCCGGTGGGAGGAGGCAGAGAGTCCGCAGCTGCCGCACACTCAGCCTCTTTGACAACCGCGGGAGGAAGGAGCAGCCCGCACCGACTGATGTCCACGGTAAGGAGCGTTTTTTTTTATCCCCCTCTTCCTCCTGAAAACAGCGGCTGTGTCTGTGTGGGAATGCGGGGCTGAGCATGGCTCCGCGGAGGAGGCGGCGGGGCGTCGTGGCAGTGGCACGCCGCCTCTGGAGCATCTTCCTCTGGGTCTGCCGCGGGAGAGAGCATCCACGCGCCGGGGAGGAGAACACCCACCCGGTAACATGGATACAGGCGGCGGGGGTGGAGTGTTGATTTGTACCGTGTGTTCGTGTTGCGGTGGACGGTTGTGTTTTCACGTAGTTATCGCAAAGCTGTAGCCGCCTCCGACGGCAGGCAGGGCGGCAGACAGCCGGACACGAGCCGCGGTCAGCGTGGAGGAGCCGCGGGGAGCTAGCAACAGTTAGCCGCTACACGTCCGGAGCTCGGCCTTCAAAACAAAAGCACATAACTAATACACATAATATTCCACCTATTTCAGCGTCATAACTAAAAACAATATGTTTTAGATATAAATCATGATGTGGTGTTTTTTAAGGAAGCGGTAACTTCTAATGCATGAGGAGAAACACTTCAAAACTCAAT